CCATAGTTCTGGCACAGCTGTCCTTGAAAAAGAGCAGTTTCTTTCGGTGCTCTCTCAGCCCCACCTTCCTCCCAGGGTGTCTGTTGTGGGGAGGGGAAGGGAAAGGAGTTTGTAAGCCGCTCTGGGACTCCCTTGGGCAGTGAAGGGCAGGGTATAAATCCAATCTCTTCTCCTCCTTCTCCTCCATGTGCTTTCTCTTGGGCAGCCTACTCTCCACTGCAGGCCCACCAGCTCGTACAGCAGAAGCCGATGCAGCACCAGTTTGTGATCCAGCAGCAACAGCAGCAGCTCCAGCCCCGGCCTCAGCTGCACCCACCACAGCTCCTGGCCCCCCAGCCCGTACAGCAAAAGCCAATGCAGCACCAGTTTGTGATCCAGCAGCAACAGCAGCAGCTCCAGCCCCGGCCTCAGCTGCACCCACCACAGCTCCAGGCTCTGCCGGCTCCGGGCCTCGTCTCGCCTCCCGGCCTGCAGGCCCAAGCCCACTCGCAGAGCCAGCCTCCGCCCGCTCACCAGCCGCAGTGCCAAGCCCCCGGACAGCACAAGCCTGGCACCCACCAGGCATCCCAACACTCAGCGCATCCTTCCGGGCCCCCGGCAGCGGGGCAGCAGAGGACAGACGGCAGCCCCCCCAGCCGCCCCGCCGGCTGCCTGAATCACACGGCGCAGTGCAAATTCCCGCACGCCACGCATTCTGCAGCTACAGCCCTCTGCGGGAACGGTGAGTCAGGCCGCTTAGTGGTGGGAGACAGCCCTGTTTGTGTTCACCCCTAACTGAAACGAAGCCTAAAGTCATGTGGTGACATCTGTGCACGATGGACAGGTTAGGTTCTGCCTCTCCCCAAGAGGGACAGATGGGAGATGATGGAATGTGAGCGTGACAGTTGAAAGCATCCCTTAGTTCAGTTGAGGGAGAGGAAGACTGGCTGAGTGGAGGTTGTGGAAGCAGCAGCGGTTGAGTCCACTGATCCCCAGCAACTCTGTGTCGAGTCCGGGTGAGGTGTGTGATCACTAAAAGGGACTGGGCCCACCCTATCTGGTGGTGTCTCTGTGAATGAAGATTGGATTGATAACCCCGCCCTTCACTTGGAGTCTTGGAGCGGCTTACAAGCTCCTTTCCCTCCCCACAACAGACACCTTGTGAGATAGGTGGGGCTGAGAGAACTCTTTTCAGAACAGCTCTGACAGAACTATGGCTTGCCCAAGGTCATCCAGCAGCTGCAGGAGGAGGAGTGGGGAATAAGAACATAAGAATATAAGAGAAGCCGATGTTGGATCAGGCCAATGGCCCATCCAGTCCAACACTCTGTATCACAGTGGCCAAAAATACCAGGCGTCATCAGGAGGTCCACCAGTCAGGCCAGGACACTAGAAGCCCTCCCCCGAAGCTCCAAGAATACAGAGCATCACTTGCCCCAGCTGGTTCTCCCAGATTAGAGTCCACACAGTTAACCACTACACCAAACTGGCTCTGAGGGGACAAATGAGAAGGGACATTGTATATGAAAGGGTCAGAGCTCTCTATCTGTTTTAAAGGAGGCAAGACGGGTGGTGAACTGTGACCATCTGACCTATGTGTAACCTTGAACCTTTGGGACAGAAAGTATAGACAGGGATATTGAACTCATTTGTTATGAGGGTCAGATCTGATGTTGTTGCAGCAGGCACTGGGGTTATAATGGTTAAGCTGCCATCAGATATTTTAACTGATCTATTTCAGATGGTTGTTGTTGTTGTATGAATTATTATTTATTGTTTCACTATATGTTGTGAACCGCCCTGAGCCTGCTCATGGGGTACGGCAGGATACAAATAAAATAAAAATAAATAAATGTTACTTTTGTCAGGCCGGGCCAGGCCATGTGTGCCACAAAATGTAATGCCAGGTACTGGAGATATAAACTTTATAAAGGACACAGGCAAACCCAATTAACAATATTACTTTTTACTCAAAACACAAACAAAAGCAATTGATTCCTACCAGCGAAAGCAATTGATTTACTGGTGGGAGCCCACAAAAGCCCCAATAAATGCATTTAATCATATGCAAGATGAGTTCCCCCCCCCCAAGAGATACCATAAAAGGGGTGGGTATTTTACACTTCCATACAAATTAGCTGCCTTTTGTATATATAGAACTTTTAGGAAGATGAATCATCGTCCTGGCAAGCAAATAAGGTAGTTTTTCAGCACACAAACTGCATACGCCCAGCCTCAGCAGCTGAGCATCACTACAATCTGTCTCTCGCTCTGTTTCCTCTCTTCCCGCATCCTGCCTCTGAGGATCTTAAGGAGGCACACCAGACTCCTCCCCCACCCCCACCACAGCCAACAACAACCACCCTGTGAGGTGGGCCAGGCTGAGTGATCGGCCCCGGGTGACCCAGATGACAGTGTCCTTGGACTCAGGAGGAAGGGGGAGGTCTGAACCGGGCTCTTCCAGATCCCCTGCCCCCAGTCCTCATCCCTCCTGCATTTCCCACAGAAGTGGTGGGGCTGAGGGAAGGCCTGGCAGAGGCTGTTTCCGAGACCTCCGGGGGGGGTGTGCTTTTTGTCTTCCTGCAACCCCTCCTGCAACCTAAACAGCATGATAAAAAGTAGAGACATCACCCTGCCAACAGAAGTCCGTGTTGGAGTTTTTATAAAATTCAGCAGAGTTAAAAACAGCTTAGCAATGCCAGAGTTCAATAATCAGACGCAGAGTCCATTGTGTGTTTAAAATATAAAAGATTTACTACAATTCTACCATAGGGAAGGGTAACTGGGAGAAAATAACAACAGAGCTATATAAGCTACATCCTCTCTCTACAAAGCACAAGACTAGAAGGGACCAATGGCTTCTCTCCAACATGCTTCTTCAAAAAAAAAACAAAGAGAGGCCATAAAATGCAAAGACACTAACACTTTGCTCCCAATCAAACTCTCAGAACAGGGATGCTTTTCGCGGGCTTGCAGATCTAAGCTAACATTGGCTAACACAAAGGCAGGTGATTTCCTGTGACAACAGAACAGACATTTAACCCCATACATACACATTGAGTGTTTTCAACATGCAAATACCCAACAGTCCGCATGGTCAAAGCAATGGTATTCCCAGTAGTCATGTATGGCTGCGAGAGTTGGACTCTAAGGAAGGCCGAGCGCCAAAGAATAGATTCTTTTGAACTATGGTGCTGGAGAAGACTCCTGAGAGTCCCTCGGACTGCAAGGAGATCAAATCAGCCAATCCTAAAAGAAATCAACCCTGACTGTTCCCTGGAAGGCCAGATAATGAAACTGAAGCTCAAATACTTTGGCCACCAAATGGGAAGGGAGCACTCCCTGGAGAAGACCCTGATGCTGGGAAAGATTGAAGGTCAAAGAAGAAGGGGATGGCAAAAGGGTGAGATGGTTAGACAGTGTCATGGATGCAACGAACATGAAACTGAGCAAACTTCAGAGGATGGCGGAAGACCGGAAGGCCTGGCGTGATCTGGTCCATGGGGTCGCGAAGAGTCGGACTCGACTGTGCGACTGAACAACAACCCCTTTTCCCTCACAGGCTGAGAACAAGTTGGGGGGGGTCCCCTCCCCCACCCGCCCCAACACTCACTCCGCCTTCCCAGCTCTGCCATTCTTAATTTTCAGACATGCGGTGGCGACATCGGCATGCCTTTTTCCCTTTGCTCTTCCCTTCGCTTCCGAGGTCAGGAGGTCTTTCCCCCTCTGCCTTCGCTTCCATTCCCCCCCCCGTTATTTTAACTTAGCTTCTTAGCCCCACCCCCTAGCCATTTCCTTTCTGTTTCTTGACAGCTCTGACCACATGCACACCTCACCACGTGCGCCTACTCGCATCCGCCCCCAAGCAGCCTATCTTCCCTCCCTCGCACCAGTTGCTCACGGGCCAGGTAAAAGCCCCAGATGGGCCGGTTTTGGCCCCCGGACCTTATGTTTGAGACCCCTGGAAGGTGGTATGGACTCTTTGAGTGAGTGAAAAAGGTCATCACACCCAGTTTTGGTGCTCGTTTGTGTCCCTTTACCTTCAAGCACAGGCTCTAAGATGAGAGGAAGTGTCTCAGAGCAATGTCTTCATGTACAAAAACACACAAGTCCAGATTGTGACGTCTTGTGCATGGAAGTTCTCAGTTTCAAACCCTGGCAGCTCCAGTGGGGGAAGGCGCAACAGGGGCTCACAAAGACCTCTGTTTAAGAGCCTACCCTCTCTTTTTAATACACACCTTTTTTTTTGCTTTCTTTCTCTGCTGCAGCCCCAGGAGAATACCAGGAAAGAAGCCGTCACTGGTGAGAAGTCCTCAGTAGAGCCCCAGGCAGGGCAGCCACCTCACCTGCTCCAGACCACCTCGACGCTGCTGTCGGCTCCTCCCGAAACGCAGGCCTCTGAGTGCACTGGGACCCCGTCCAATGGTAAGAGACTCCTTCAGAGTATGGGTGATGCCTGTTGGTTGCCCAGTGGCCGTGCGTCCTTGTGGCCTTCATCACGGGCAGATGATAATAATAATAATAATTCAATTTATTGATCGCTCGATCCTTGCAGAGCTGCCAGCTCTGAGCGATTTACAGTTACTCATGTGTAGACACGGGACTAACAATGATGGGGGTAAGGGAGGACAACATATATCATTTTTAATCACACACACTTCGCAGTCGACAGGGAGTTTGGTCAGCTTGTAAGCCTAAGACGTGTCCCGGGCAGCATTCTTTTAGTCGATGTCGTCAGCATTTTCTCGGTTGCAGCGCACCACTGCCACCGTCTGGCCGGTGGGGGAATTTAGATGTCCTCCCCAGGCCAAAGGGCTGGGTCAGTGTGTAATGGAGAGGATCAGGGCCCAAGGGGACAGGGGGCTTTGGTGTGGGATGCTTAATGCTCAAATGGCTGAATGGGAGGGCTGTAGGGTAGGCGGGGTGGGGGTGGGGTGCTGGGTAGGAGAGGATGCATAGTTCCAGTCTGTATTGTGAGCTGGGTTAGTTCTATCCAAAAGGATAATAAAACTCTGCTGAACGAATCGCTCACGTTTCGCAAAATGCTTTGGCTAGTCATATCGAAGGAAGAAGATGCTAAACAGAGCACTGGGAGCCCTGTTTCTCCCCCCTCCCCCCCAAAAAAAGAAAGAATGTGGACCAACTCTCTGTCTGACTTCTTGAAATTTTTCCGGACATCGTATGTGCCTTTCCGTGTTTATTATTTTTGCCGGCTTCGGGGCCTAGAGACTTGCCTCCGTTCGAGAGAGAAAATGAAAGCAAGAGGGTTCTTAGGGTGCTGAATCCCTCCTCCAGGTAGCAAACACCAAAGGGAGGTGGATGAAATGCACGCATGGCTCCCCAGTTGTGCAGAAGCCAGGGGAAGGTTAGGTGAATTGTATTTCCCTATTCAGAAAGTGCTGATGCAGCTAGGGTCCCCTCTTATTTATTTATTTATTTATTTATACATTCGGCTTATATACCGCCCTGACCCCGAAGGGTCTCTGGGCGGTTTACATACAAAGTCTAAGTCTACTTGCCCTATCTACGGCCACATGGTACAGGGGCAGGGGCTGCCTACCGGCACCCAGGTGGTGGGGCTTGCTGTTCTCCAGCTTGGCTCCTACTTCTTCTGGCGGTCTTCGGGGTCGGTGCTTTCGTCCTGGCGTCCAGGAATAGGTCTTCCATTTTTGGTGGCTTTCCGCGGCTTCGGCTAACGTCCATTTCGGCTCCGCTGCGCCTGTGCCTCCACGTCACTGCGCCTTCCGCCTCCGCTGTCATCTGTTCCACCACTCAATGTTGCACTTTGTTGGCCACCAGGGCTCACCCCGCCAATCTCGCCGCCGCTGCCTCGTCACTCTTGGCTCTGGTGGGGGAATTTAGGGGGCGTTCTGGGGTTGGGTGGGGATGTTACGTGACATCCTCGACATGATGACGTCACCCAGAAGTGATGCCATTGCATCAGGGATGTTGCATGGGGGACACTCTGGTATTTGGGTGAAATAATGGTTTTTTCCACCCTCAAACCATGGAGTTTGTCCAGATACCAGAGCATCCCTGACACGATGATGTCACTTCCCTGTTTAGGGGCGGAGTTTCACCCACCAGCCAGCTGGTCCATGGCAGGGAGAAGAAATTGGGGAATCCCCCGTCCAGACCTGGGAGCTTGGCGAGCCTAGATGCTGCCTTTGTAGGGAATGTGCCTAAGATGGCTTACAAAATAAAACATAAATATTAAAAGCCATTAACTGAAATCCAGTCTGAGCATGAAGTGTGGGTGAAACTCTTTTCTGTTGAGTCAGTCGATTGGTCCATGGCAGCAGCGGCTCTCTCGAATCTCAGGGCAGAGCTCTTTCCAAGCTAGTCTCGATCTGCCGCTTCCTTGGGAGCAGAAGCCAAAAGTTTCGTGCCGCGGAAACGAGCTTGTGAAACGGGCTGGCAGAAGATGTGGCATTTCAAAAGCTGGGGGTAAGCCGTGGGGGAACAAGGCCATGAAGGATTATAAAACAGCAGGGGTCATTTCGTAGAAAAAGAGATGCAGGAGCTTATTAGCATAACTCATTAGCATAACTTATTTGCATATGCCACACCCCCTGACATCACCTGAAGTGTGTCAGAAGGCAACACCCACCGCTCAGGCTCCACAGAACTGTTTTGGATTGCTAGCTATTGGGGGGGACACACATGCCGATCTGTCCTCGCAGAGGAGGGAGAGCTTGTACCTAAACTTGGTCTTAAAGGGTGCCACTGGACTGTTTTGGAACAGGGGGAAGCTCTGCGACTTACCTGGCTGCTTCTTGCTCTGACTGAGGGCTGCTGGGAGCAGGGGGTGGGGCTTGTCCCATGTGCCCACCCCCTGGGCTCTACTGCCGGAGCTCCGCTCCTGTGCGCTCCTGCAGGAAATGACCCCTGCAAAACAGATCCAGTGTTGTGTGTGACTTGGGTTGCCTTCCTCCATGAACCTGCAAAGTAACAAATAGAAATGCAAATTTCCTTAACTGTCCAGAGTCACTATGCAGAAGCAGGCAGTGGCAAACCGCCTCTGAACACCTCTTGTCTTGAAAACCCTACAGGGTTGCCACAGGTCAGCTGTGACTTGGGCAGGGCTATTTTTGGGCAGGAACGCACAGGAACAGAGTTCCGGCTGGCTCCCGAGTTGGCCACGCCTAGCAGGAACTCATTAGCATAATAGGCCACGCCCAACGACAGGAACTCATTAGGATTGGCTACTTTAGGGGTGGGTGGCCTAACATGCAAAGGAGTTCCTGCTGCAAAAAAAGCCCTGGGTCTTGACAACAAACAAGGTAAATAGAATAAGAAGCAAAAGGTGGGTGTGGCTGGATGACCACACTTCTGGTAACATGGGGGTACAGCCTAGTATGCTAATGAGCTGTGTTGTCAGGGGTGTGGCCTAATATGCTAATGAGCTCCTGCTGTTGGGTGTGGTCTATTATGCTAAAGAGTTCCTGCTGGGCTTTTTCTACAAAAAAGGCCCTGGACTTGGGTAATAGCATACTGGTGCTAGGCGCTGCAGGAATAGCTTTATGTTGAGTCAGACCGTGGCTGTCGCAGGGTGAAGAACTACACTCTCCAGGGGAAGTCCTTCCTGTTGCACAGTTGAATGCTCATTCAGTAAATTATGGCTTCTTTCTCCTCTCCACTCTAGCCTTCCCTACTAAGTTGCCTCATCCACTAGCACGTCACCCTACCCGTGAGAGTCCTGTGACTGTATTGAAAGTCCATTAAGGCTCTAACTAGGCAACATCTGAGTGTGTTGATTTCGGTTGGTTTAAAGGATGCCAGGCCTTGGAGTCTCTAAAATGGAGGGGGGATGTCAGGGCCAGTGTTCCCTCTAAACTGAGTTAGTGTGAGCTAACTCACAGTTTTTTAGCCTCCAGCTCACAAATTTTTGTCTTCGCTCAGGAAGGATGGCTCCGGAGCAAACTAATTCATGCAGTAGCCAAATTGCTCGCTCGCAACTTTAATGCCAGTCACTCACAAAATAGAATTTTTGCTCACAAGACTCCCCAGCTTAGAGGGAGCATTGGTCAGGGCCAGTGTTCCCTCTAAGCTGAGTTAGTGTGAGTTAGCTCACAGTTCTTTAGCTTCCAGATCACAGATTTTTGTCTTAGCTCAGGAAGGATGGCTCCAGAGCAAACTAATTCATGCAGTAGCCAAATTGCTCGCTCACAACTTTAATGCCAGTAGCGCACAAAGCAGAATTTTTGCTCACAAGAAGAAGAGAAGAGATTGGATTTATACCCCGCCCTTCACTGCCCAAGAGAGTCCCAGAGCGGCTTACAAACTCCTTTCCCTTCCCCTCCCCACAACAGACACCCTGTGAGGTAGATGGGGCTGAGAGAGCACTGACAGAAACTGCCCTTTTTCAAGAACAGCTGTGCCAGAACTAGAGATGTGAAGGCCCGGAAAAATTCGGGGGGGAAATGGGTTTTTTCTGTTTTTTTCCTGAAGCCTTTTTGTTTTTTTCCGAAAAATTGGAAAAATAGAAAAAATAAAATAAAATCAATTGACTATGGAACGTTTTATTTTAACATGCTGAATAAAATATTTTAAGACAAGGTGTTCAAATATTTTCCAAATCATTTCTAAAATATATAGGGTATCAGATTGATCTAATTTCTGTGCACTGAGGACAAGCAAGTCCTAGATTACAAACTGAACTCTTCAATGCAAAAACAAGATGCATTTCTTCCTTTAGGAGGTGCTATTGTCAGAAGAAAATAAAAAGGTTTCAGTTTTGTTTTTGCATGTGGGTGGGTATTCTGTTTGTAATAATTGTTTGGATACACTATATTTTTAATATGCTAGTTGTGATAATTTCATGCCAAGTAAAAATGTCCATAGTCATATTTTATGTTCCTAAAGTAACAGAATGACTTTCAGTCTAGAAAAGACAAAAGAAATGCAAATGTAGCATTTTTCCAATTTTTCCGAAAATTTCCGTTTCCCCCTGAAAAAAACTGGAAAAAAAGGGTTTTTTCCCGAGCTTCAAAATTTCCAGAAATTTTACATCTCTAGCCAGAACTATGGCTTGTCCAAGGTCATCCAGCCAGGTACAAGTGGAGGAGTGGGGAATCAAACCCAGTTCTCCCAGATTAGAGTCTGCGCACTTAACCACTACACCAAACAGGACTCCACAGCTTAGAGGGAGCATTGGTCAGAGCTGCAGCGGGGAGTTTCCAGGCTGTATTCTGCAGCTAATCTGGTCCTGAAGGGGCCAGGAGCTTTTGTTTTATCATGCAGCTCTGTTTGTGTCTCCTTTCTTGCTACCCCCCCCCCCAACACTCACATCATCTTTGCCAACACTTCCTGCTGTGTTCTGCACCCAGGGCAGGCCCCAAACCTCAAGCCTAAAATAGCGCGCCAGCCCCAAATGTGGCATTCCAGAATTAGCTCCGGAGAAGACGAGCTTGAAAGAGAATTAT